ATGGTGGTGATGATGATGATGATGATGGTGGTGATGATGGTGGTGATGATGATGATGATGATGATGATGATGATGATGATGGTGGTGGTGGTGATGGTGCTGCAGGTAAGATACACCAGCTGTGTGCATGCTCAAGTTACTCTGCAATACAAAAAAGGAAGCAGACAGATTTGATAATAACAAAAGTGTATTATTTAATGTATATATATATTCTCAGATTGGACAGCTACCCAAACTTTAAATAGAAACTATGATACACGTTGCCTGGCAAGGATGTGATGTGCACAACATGTCCTGTGCCGTTTTACCTGTATAGGCGTCTGCATGGTGGCCATGGGCTGGTCAATGGAGGTGAAGGCTGAGATGGCCGACATGAGAACATCGTCACTGACCAGCACGTTGCCTTGGACCAGAGTGTGCGTCAGAGGGGAGGGAGGGACTGTGATGTAGGTAGATACCTGATGTATAAGTGGGGGGGGGGTAATACACAAAAATATTGTATTCGCAGTCTTAGTTTAGAAAAAACACACAAAAGTGAGAAAAGCATGCAGGCTTGAAGACAAAATTAATGTCACTGTATTTTTATCTTAACGTATAGCTTTATATTGTATCTACAGAGCATATTTTTCCAAATCACTTCATTTGTAGTAGTAGTTGTAGTCATTTAGTTCATATGCTGTACATTTACAGATAAAACAACAAAATATGACCTAACCTACTAACAGACTGCCCATTAAACTGACACTGATCAAATAATGAACCAATCACCCACATAAAAAACCCAAACCATCCTCACCTGTCTGTTGGCGGGAGTCTGTGGTCCAGAGCTGATTGAAGGGACAGGCGTGTAGGCGTTGGTGGAGGCCAAGGACACTGTGGACAGGGAGGGGGCGCTAGACTGACACTGCTCCCTCTTGTGTGTCATGAAGGCTGGCAGAGAATTGAACTGTTTTTTACACTTCCCACACAGGAACACGTCTTCGTCGTCTGTAGGAAGGGCAAACATGGAGGTTTGAGGAATATCCAGCAATGGAGAGAAAGAATAACACACCTACAGTGCTGTGTACTGTTGTCATACCCTCCAGCATTTCCATGCACACAAATGTCTATTTCAAATATTATTTCAGTGGTTATGGGGAGTGATATTTATATTATTCAGTCAGTTGTACATGGCCTGTTATCAGCCTACATGGCAACTGGCCCATGTTACTCTCAGACCAGGCCTAACCGGGCCTCATGGGTACAGGCCCTGGCACCTCCTCTCACAGGCCTTGCTCCTAGAGGGGAATCAGCCTCTAATCGTGCCACTCACCTGGGATCAGTTTGCCTAATGAGACCCTACCAGGACGTGTTACCCCCAGCAACACATCTCCCAGAGTCGCAGGGAGACACAAACCCTCCCAACACAATAAGGTGGCAACCATCATGGGATTGTGCTAATCTTGAGAAGCAAAACAGGCATGCATTTTTTTATATGTGACACAAGCACAAGTTGTGATGCCATAACATCAGGGAGATGGGTTCAAAGTAAATGAGGGGAGTAAACAACTACAAATCTTTCAGTCACAATCCAATAATAAGTGTAAAAGTATAAGTAAGCCCTATGACAATAAAGATCTATCATCAAATGCTATATATAAGGTATATTTAATGACCAATTATGTAAGATGACATTTTCTGGCAAAATTGATCTTGAGATGAAATTCATCAGGATCTGGGTGGCACACCATGTCGGCTAAGCACTTCCCTTAATATAGAAATGTATCTATTGGTATTGTCTTTACTGTATTTATATGTTGCTGTGTTTATGTCTGTGTGTTTCTACGTTGAACTGGCTGTGAAAACAAATCTCCCTCTGCGACAATAAAGTCTAAATCTTAATCTCAATATCTGAATGCCTCCCGTCTCCTTTGTTCTCCATCAGTTCAACAGGAGAATAACATCACCTATTTAAAGTGATCGTGATTCTTCTTCTTAACATTATATTTCTGCATTGAACTGACACTGTGTTGAAGACTGTATCCCTTCGCAAGGAACCACATTTTGTGTTTGCCCAAGGACACTGGCTGTAGGCTTTCTGTCGGCCTCTTTGTTTGCAACCACTCCGCTGTCAGTTACTGTATGTGCTGTACAAACCCATAGACTGGATGGTGGGCGTCCCAGAGACGTTCTGGTTGTTTGGGTCAGGAACTCCGCCTTGGCCATCCAGCAGAGACTGGACCGCCAACACTGTCTGGTTGTCCATGCCTAAAGAGGAAGGAGGAGGAAGAGGAGGAGAAACATGAGTCACATGATTCAAAGCTCCACTGTAATGTGTTGTAATACAGTTTTAGAAGAATGTACACAAATCTAATAATAATCATTAAGTATCAGGAGAATAAAAAAAACTCACTATGGACTAACACATCAGTTATTATAGTCCTATAGCAATATTACAGTTTGCTTCCATCAAAAGGGCCTGCTGTAAAACTCTAACATACAGTGTGAGTGACACTCAAGAAGGGGCCCACATTATTTTACTGGCTGGCTGTATTGTGATGAGAACGCCTTACAGTCGTAAGCTGTCCATATTGTGTTGACAATAATCAGCCTGTTTGTTTGTTTACAGTCATAGTCCCACTCTCCTATGGGATGTTTGGACTGTTATAACAAGAATAGACGCATACGCATCATTTTATAATGAGTTTTCCGCACATGGAAATGGTCCAGGTATATCGACGTTGTATAAAACACACATTCCTGTTTCATTCTAGTTGTAGTTACGTGGTTATTAACAAATTATTCCTACCTTCAAGCACTTCAAATATTGCCTGCGCCATCTTGTAGCTCTTCTGCTGCGCAATAGGCGCTCGATTAGCAAGGGCTGCCTGTTGAGGTACGCTCCCCACAACTCACAGGAACTTACACTGAATGCGCCTAAAACAAACATTTATGTTCACAATTAACAGACGTTGATTTAAAAAAAAAAGTACTGTTTGTACTACTGTTTATTTATTTGTCTGAGGCCGATATGAATGTAAGCAATGGTCTGTTCATTTCGTGTAAGCCGGTAACAAAACCAACATGGTGCCATTAAGTTGTTGTTTTTTTTTGCGTGGAACCTGAACGCACCTTCTCAACGATGACTCTGCGCTCGGTAAAATGACAGACTACAGTTTACACCAATCAGAAGCCGTCAGCCCCTCCCAGCGGAAAGTGCAGCTTTTTGGCCAATGAGAACCCTCGGATTGGCGCACGTGTCGGTTTCGCGGCAAAAAAGATTTCGCGCGAAAACCGTCCGACCCTTGTTTAGATGTAGATCAGCTGGGACAATAACAACAATAACGGCAGATAACGGGGTCGGGACGGCGCTTTTATAAATGGACCGCGTACGGCGTGAGCAACCGAAGGACCAGCGGCGGGTGTTTTAAAAGATGCGTGTGTATTTAACCGCTTTATTTCTTCACATTTCCAGTTTGTCGGACTGCTTCCTGCGTGCCCCAACAAAACGAGGGGGTTGAAGAATTGCGCTAATAACTTAGCTAGCATGCTAATCTGCCCTACATTCTCATACCCAACGATATCTGTGTGTACTCCGCTCAACTGCCTGTCGCTTTACTGCGTATACTCTCAAAGATGCTTTTGAGTTATGGTGAAGCCTTTTGCATTGTACATATTTAATTTCGATAGCTCACTCCTGGAATGGTGCTATAAAGTTTGAATAGCCGTTTAACTAAGCCCAGTGTTAGGTGTAAGGAGGAAGAATATTGTTTTCTACCCTTTAATGGCTAACGTTAGTTTACCGGCTGCACCGGGTTGTTTGTTAACTTGTTTCAGTCTTTGTTGTTAGGACACAAGCTAGCTCGCTAGCAGGGCTGGTAGCTGTGTTGGGGGCATTGTGGCCAGGCCTCGCGGCTCTACTGTACTGACAGGAGAGATGAAAACAAAAGATTAGCTCGCTCCCTTGCTAGCTCGCTAACCTCCAGCGTTTATTACCGCCACGGACCATTTGCGACTCTTTCTCTGATAACATATCAGCGGCTGAGCCTCAAGGCGCAGAGCTGGTATGCATTTTGCAATATTATATTGTTTGCCAAATGTCCTTGTTTGGCAGAACAGCCTGTCTTGCTGTTTCACCATCAGCCTAAAAATAGTTTTCAGCAGTTAGCTTCCAATAGGTTATCATTTATGTTCAAGTTATGTTGTTGGTTGTAATGTATTTGCAGTAGCTTGTTTGTGAACAGCAAGGTGGACAGTAGAGAAAGAGGAACTTTTTTTTAAGAAATGTTTAAGCTGCCTAGAAATAGCTGCAAGCAGACTTTCAGAAGGTTTCACCATCGTTCCTTAAATCCACTGAGCACAGCAAATCCAAGTCGGTGTTGAGACCCCCAAAGTCCAGGGAAGGGCTCCTCGGTGACCCACTGCAATGTCAGAGACTCTGATAACGGGCCAGACATCGGAGGATCTGTTGGCTGACTTTGAGACCTTGCTGAACTCTGGGAGTATTGACCTGGGCGAGGACCACCAGATAGTGATCATCACCAGCCCCAGCAATGAGGGACTCCACCCGACCGCTGCCCCCACCAGCACGGGGGAAATCCTGCTGTTTGCCACGCCACAGGGCCCTGCTGATGTGGGGATCCAGGACAAGAGACGGCCGGCTCTTGGAAGACCACCGGTGAGGAGAGGAAGGGGTGGGGTGCGGTGTGGGAAGAATGAGGAGAGAGAAAGTGAAAGAGTGATAGGGGAAGTGGTTAGCTGAGGTGTTGTCCCTATGTTGAAATGTTTACATGCAAGTGATTCTGACTGCGTGACAAAGTCCATCCACCTGTTGCTTCAAGACATTTGGTCTTACTTTTACTTTCCTCTTCTTAATATATAATAGGTACATAACTGTAATAATATACTCATGGTTCAAGTTTCTTTCTTCAACATCTGTGTTTCTTCAGGTAAAGAGGAAGTTGGACCTGGATAGTGACCATCAGTATGTCAGCACCACTCGTCCGTCCGTTGGCCAAGCACCACCCTCCACGCCCGCCCCTCCCAGAGGTACACACATACTTGCTCATTCTGCTGATGTCTTTTCATTGTCACCCAAAATTCACAGCAGAAGCAACACGTCAGCTGCGCGTCAGCCATCCACTCCATACATACTCTGACCTTTGCTACAGCCATTGTCCTAAAAACAGCTGTCCTTTTATCAGCACAGACAACAGCCTGCCGACCTTTGTCTTTGTCTTCAGTGGGCTGACAGCTATGAGAAATATTTAAAACTACTGGTCTCTTCAAATGACAAAAGAGAGCTTTTAAGCATGCAGGAAGACAATGTAGTAATTCATTTAGGTCGTTTTCTCCCGCACATTAACAGCAACAATTCAATAATCAGTAATTCCAAAGTTTAAAACATAAGGTGGGAGTTTTGAATGGTGGCTCATGGGAGATGCATTTCACAACAAGCAGAAAAGAAAACTGACATGGAGTGTAAAAGATGGGTCACATGTTTGAGTCGGTACAAGACAGTGTTTTGACAAGGAGTTCGTCAAACATCAACCATATGAAGAGAAATTGATTTTAAAAACTGCAAGTTTATAGTTATAGTGGATTCATGGGAAGGTTAGCATGCAGTGCACACTGAAGAATAGGAAATGTTTTTGTTGGGTGGGATTGTTTAAAATGATGGTATTAATTCGTATGAGATATTAATCATCTACTGTAGGATTGAGCGATGTTTTAAAAATGTCCAGCCCGGCCGCCATCAGCCCAACATCAGCTGGGAGATCAGCGTCGAGTTTGCTACGTGCCACAAGCTCTCTTGGCTTGAATAAATAAAATAAACTCACCAAATATGAAGAAAGGAAATATTCCAACACATGTTATCCTCACTAAATCACCTTGGAAGTACTCACCCACTTACTTCAACCTCAACAGAAAAGAAAGTCTTTCCACACATCACCAAGTCTAAACAAGTTAGATGTGAAAGTATTCTGGCTCTACACGCTGTTCCATCTCCCTCTCACTCTTCACTTCATGCGTCTCCTGTCCCGACTGGTCCCGCCATGTCTTTGTTGTGCCTGGAGTCAGAGTCCTGGTTGGCGGCACAGTAAATCACCTCGGTACTGTATTCCCTGTCATACAGTTGGTCAAATTAAACCCTTAAATCACGGAGTTATAAAAAAAATGTTCTGCCCCAACAGCTGTTCTTCCTCTCACTCGTTCTTCGGCTCAGTGAGTGTACTGTGCCGCTGAACGTCTGTTGCAAGCAGCAGCTTTTGTTCTTTAGAGGCACACCATTAAATTAGCCAAAATAAAACAAAATAATGTACATTTGAATTGAATAGAATGGACATTTTCTGCAAATACAAATAGCAGGCGTCTATAAAGTAATTTCTTGCCCTACAGTAAGAATGTATGACAAAAAAACATCCTCATGAGTGCCTGAGTGTCCAGAAAATAGGAGGAAAAACATCCAAAATTATTTATTATTTCCTGGACAGTTTGGGTTTCACTCTTGAGTTTAAATTGCTCCTCCAGGCCAGCAGGAGTTTCATTAGGTCAACAGGATGATTCAGTTAGGAGAGATGGGATGCTCTTCTTCACTGCTGCCTCAGTTTGTGCCGTATGCCAATAAGGGTGTAGTCCACTGTTGTTAAAAGCAGAATTTCCCCCTTTCTTTCCAGTTCCTCGAAATACAACGGAGAAGTCACGGTATGACACTTCCTTGAACCTGACCACCAAGCGCTTTCTGAACCTGCTGTCCCAGTCGGCTGACGGCGTGGTGGATCTGAACTGGGCCTCGCAGGTCCTGGATGTCCAGAAGAGACGCATCTACGACATAACCAACGTCCTGGAGGGAATCCAGCTCATCTCTAAGAAGTCCAAAAATAACATCCAGTGGCTGTGAGCATTAAAAAAAAAAGAGCCTATATTATCTTACTAGACTAGAGTATAAAAAGAATAAATACAACTACATCAAAATGGCGTATAAAACCCTAACAAACGCAACAGTAAGCATAACATTACAGCAGTGAAATATTAACGTTCGTGTGAAGTCCATAAACCACTTGATTTATTTTATCTTTCATTTTCCTTCTCCTGCAGTGGTAATCGAGTGGATGCGGCACTGGTCTCCCGCCATAAGGAGTTGCAGAGGGAGGTGTGTGACCTCACAGAGGCCGAGCAGCAGCTGGATGAGCTCATTTCCAAATGCAACCTACAGCTCCGACTGCTCACAGAGGACCCACAGAACAAGAAATATCCTTTCGACAGTACAGCTGCCAACTGCCGACTCTGTGTCCGACTCACTGCCTCTGACGTCGTGCACACGTGGCCAACGAAAACCTCACTAGATCGAGGCGGCTGCGTTTTTTTAGAGACACCGCAGCTGCTGTCTACTGGCTGCAAAACCCAGGGCATGATGGGAAACGCCTGGGTGTCACCCAATCTAAGAGCTGATTGGCTTTTAATTTTTGATACCACCAGTTTAATATTTAACTCCAGACTGTAGGCTGTTCTCATGTTGTGCAGTGAATGTTTAATCTGTTAACAAACACATCTTGTCTGGTTGCTAATAATAATAGTAATAAAGTTTATTTGTATGTCCAAACTTTATCTAAAAACTACAGGCAGCCTGAGGATGATCTAACAGGATGTAAACATTTCTGTGACTTCCTGGATATTGTTTGAAGGCGGCTCGAAACTTTCCGACGTTCTGTCACCGCCTCCTGCTGCTGCCGCCTGATCTCGTCCGCTTCCCAGGCGAGGCGCCGTTCATCTCGAACGAGCCCATTGTTGCTGTCTTGGACTCTGTGTGGCCTCAGTGTGATACCACTTTCAGCTGTATTGTATTCCTTAATTGTTGTGTTTGTCACGTTTGGCTATGTGCGCTGCCAGGACTTAAAGAAGTCATTTGATTCCCCAGACCAGCTGGTCATGGTGATCAGAGCTCCACCAGAGACCCAGATGCAAGTTTCAGAACCCAGCCAGGTACGAGCCTTGAACGTTATTCAGCTTCTTGAAAGTTAATTTCGAGGTTTTTTACATGTCCGTTTCCATTTGTTTCCATCTGTCAGGGTTACCAGGTATCGCTGAAGAGCTCGCGGGGTCCAATCGACGTCTTCCTCTGTCCCGAAGACAGCTCCGGCGTCTGCAGCCCCGTGACGGGAAGCAGTCCCTCGAAACCCAATGCTGACGCCTCCCTGGACCCGCCTGCCACACAACACACAGACAAATCACAAGCCAGAACGTCCACAACCGCCCTGGAAGTGGGTTTATCATCACCAGCGTCCACGTCATCCACGGTGACAGCAGCCTCCCAGCAGGACCCCTCATCACTGGTGTTAGGAGGCGACACAGGTGAGTGTTCATTTGTCTGTAAATATATGTAGGTTTATTGGAATACCCTCAATTTTCAATGCTGAGAATCAATTTAAGGGATACTCTTTCCAAGATTTTGAAAGGTAGCCGTAAGAAGACTGCTGCTATCACCTATTGAACTCTTAACATGCAGCTAAACAAGCAGGTTGTAGCTTTAAATAGACAAAATGTTTAGCAATATATTAGTTTTACTAACTAGTATCACAGTCGCAGTTTATTGTCCCAGACTGGATAATCGGACTTTGATGCTGATGTGACTCCAATACCATTTCTCTTCACTGATCTCTCTGTTCTCAGCTCAGTTTTTCAACCAGCAGTGTAAAACCTAAAGATATCAGCGTACAATCATGTATGACGAAGAAATGCATCAAATCCTCACATTAGGGAAGTTGTAAACAGCAAATGTTTTTGCTTAAAACGGGGCAAAGTGAGGAAGTGGAGAACGTATTTAAGAATTTTTTTAAATTGCATTGTTTTCCTCTCAAACTTCAAAACTTCAGCTAATAATTAGAAGCTCAGACTCTTTTTCTAAAGCATGTGCTACTAAAGTAATGGGCCTTTTTCAAGGCAGACGTTTTGACTTGTCGTGGCATAGCACGTGTGAATCATATTGTTAGTGTGTTTGTTCCACAGAAGTCTCCCAGTCAGCTGTGTCAATGACATGTGCAATAGACTTGACTCTGTAAATGACTCACTTAAATGGAAAGCGGCCATCGTTGATGTTAATTTAAACTGTGCCAAACTATGACAGGTGTTCTGTTGGTAAATGTCCTGTACTTGTATAGCACCTTTCTCATCATTCACACATGTTCATACACTGATGACACAGCATCAGGGGCAGTTTGGGGCTCAGTATCTTGCTCAAGGACACTTTGATATGTGGCAATCAAAGCAGGGAATCAAACCGCCAACCCTAGTGGTAATTAGTGGATGACCCGCTCTACCTCCTGAGCCACAGCCAATGAAAATATTTGTGTGTTTTAATTAGTAATAAATCAAAATCCAGTAACCACAAATGTCCCTGTGATAATATTTTTTACGTTTGACCTTCCGTAACAGATTCGCTCCTTGGAGGCGACCCGTTTGCCAGCCTTGGAGACATGCCCGATTTTGACCTCTCACCCCTCTCCTCCTCGGACTTCCTGAACGGAGAAGGCCTCTCTCTCCCGCTGGACGGTTTCATCAACCTGTCCCCCCCGCACAGTCATGACTACCACTTCGGACTGGAGGACCATGAAGGCATCAGTGAACTGTTTGACTGTGACTTTGGTGACCTATCACAAGTTTTGGGGAACAGTTGAATGAAAAAGGAGAGGAGGAGCATGTAAGCTTCTAGATTTCCTCTCTTCCTCGGGGCTTCTGGAAGGAGTGCTGGAAATCAACGTTATATGGACGTATCTTTATCAAAAACCCAGACATAATGTTGTGGGGTGTGGGAAAATGTTTTGTGTAGTAATTGCCTGTGATCCCCAGAATACCACCCTAACTACAAAATCTCAAAAATTCCCCCAAATTGTATAGCACATGATTAGCACTTCTCTTTGGCCATTGAAACATTTTAGACCAAGACTTTAGCTTTAGAATAGCTATTTAAATTATTTATATGAAAGTTATTTTGATATTTTGTATCAAGTGAGGTTTTTGTCGTTGTTGTTAATGTTTTATCCGAGTGGATCGTGCAGGTGTTTGCGTGTGGGAGTATGAACTCACAGGGCTGGTTTCCTAGACACAATTTAACTTACATGCTACAACTCATAAGGCTGGTTTCTTTTAGAAGGCTTAAGTGTTTTCGGAATCAGCATTATTAGAGGTGCAGATCCAGTGCTGGGCTGTCCAAAAGCATCTTGGAGCTATGGAGCAGTTTTACACTCTCCCAATAGGTTTTTTCCCACAGTGATAGAAGTCATTATAAGCACAAATGTAAAGGCTTCTTCATCAATAATTAGTTTGGTCTAAAACACTGGAATCCTGAAAGACTGGTTTCTCTAATGTGTCTGAAAATGACATTCAAGGTATCATTACCCTGACTTAATGACTAGATTTGCACGTTTCCCAGTCTCCCACTGTGGATTAAAAAAAGACTTAATAAATAACTAATGGTCCACTTTTAATTGTCCTCAAACCCACTGGGGTTGTCTTTAGTGGGGTGTTCATATATGTATGTGAAAAATGAACACAAACAAGACCTAAGATGCTTTTGGGGAGCTTGACCCTCATCCTTCTTCAAAAAAAATGGTAACAGAAAGTCACCATGACATTTGTTGTTTTTCTTCAAAATACCCTTTTCCTTTGGTCATCTGGAGAAAAGCCATTTTAGAGAGTCTGAGGGACAAAGGTGGAGACTCAGTGTGACTCATACTGTGGTTTTGAAGGAAAAATCATACAGTTCAAATCCGAAAGGTCAAGACATATTTTGTTGGTGTGCCGGAAACCAGGTTATAATAGTCTGCTGCAGTAATGCTAGCGAGTTAAAACTAATACTGAATATGTTCTCTATTAGTTAGCTAAGTGTGTAGCACATAGTCTCAGGTGTTCAGAGCAGAGAGAAGTCTTAAATCAATGTTTTTGATGCAAACGTATGAGAGTGTGACGTTTTAGATGCATTTCATGGGTGTTGTGTAGGTTGATAATAGGTTTTTACAGGTCTAGAAGAAGCTTGAAGACAGCTTGCGTGTGTTTTTATTTTTTTTTTCCCCGACTTTTTCAGCCAAGGGTTGAGGCGAGAAAAGTTCACCAGATGCCTGTAGAGTAATGCTCCCAGAACCACCCGACTGTTATTGCCAGGTGGGGAATCTCCCAGCAGGTGCTGAGCCCTGACGTACAGTTAAAGAAGTTCAGTTCCTCACAAACCAATACACCCTTTGGTTGCGTGTTTACTGGAAGCCTTCAGTGTGGTTTGTTTGTCATTATGGGTGTATTAAAGCACAGCTGCATCTTTTGCTTTTACCAGTCTAATCAAGTGTAGAGCAGTGATGACTTCCGAAAGGGTTCAGCAGAAGGTATGTTAAACAGGGACATCCTGTTATGTTATATGCACTTCGAATCAATTCAGAAAGTTAATGTTCATGCCTTAAATCAATGATCTCTTTGTGAAGGGAGGTACCTTGGATATCTTATCTTATAGCCCCCGAAAGGATCAATTCCTTCTTGTCTTGTACAGTCACATCAGGCTCCGCCTTCACATACTACTACATGGTTTGTTTCTATCACATTGATTTTCAGTTGCAGTAAGCAGCAATAACACATCATGTACTCAGAGTATGAGATGAAAAACTGTCCTGCTTCGTGTCCGGTGTTGTTGTAGTTATTTCTGCATCAAACTTTTTTTCTTGTTTTAAGTTATGTAAGCTAACATGTTTTTTGCATTCCTGAAGTATTGGGTTTTAATATGTGTGCGGGTGCATGTGTGTGGAATATACAAATTGTCTTTTTTTTAATTTGATATTTATTTAAAGCGGGTTTAATAGAAAATATGGTACAAAGTTTTTCTTTTCTCCCCCAATTTTCTGGCAGGAAGTAACTTTATACCCACACTTTGGGTAAATCCAAGCTAAATGTGCATTGATAATTGTGTTCTTTTAATGAATTTAAGTATTTTGTTTGTAAATTAGCTTCTCCTAGTACCACAGTTATATTTTGCCATGTTTTGTGTCCCCCATAGAGAATATATTTCCCTGTCTTTCCCGTTGTGCATGTGCAACCTTTGCATTGGCTAATGATGCGTCATATTTTCAAGAGAAAAATATTCACAAATACAGCATATTTGGCACTTTGACTGAAATAACTAAATGTAACTTAATTCTTAATTCCTTGTTTGATCACGGCATTCGTTCTCACATCAGCTTAGATGAAAGATAATCTCGATGTTGCAGGCAACATGCTAATCTAAGGTTGTACATGTATTATATAGGGCTTCCTTTGGGTGCCTCAAACTGTCACATGAATGTGTGAAAACCTTACAACTACAGTCATGTTTCCTTTATCTTCAGCTCTGTGGAAATCAGAAAATCCAGTGTATATTTTCAACAGCATCTGAAAAGTTTTCAACTGACAGCGGTGTTACACGCCTCTAAGATGTTAGGCTCCTTTTATGACCCGTGTAACCCTTATAGAATGTATCATGTTTGTTTTTGTCTGTCTTGGTTTTAATATCCAACATCCAGCTGAACTGATCGACATTGTTGGCAGAATGGGAGCAGTTCATGTTGTCCACCGTTGTGAAATTTGTGTCAGTCATGTTTTGGTTCTCTGCAGGACAAATGCAGTGCCTTGTTGAGGTAAAATATTAATTAATATTCAAATCAGGATTTCTTTTTGTGTGTGGCCATGGTGAAGGAATGCAATGTTTTCATGTGGTTTGTTTTGTTTTGTTTGAAAAGCGTTCAAGATAACATTTGCGCCAGGGTTGAAATCAAATCACCTTCAGTTAAAATTCAAAACGGATACCTCTGTATAAGTATCTGTGGAAATCGGAGCATATTGAAGGACAATAATAGGTCAGGGCTGTACTGAATTCATTGTGAAATATGATATTTGATGCAAAACTATAAATATCTAATATAGTTGTTGATTCTTATACAAAAGTGTCTTATCATGTGTTAAAAGTCACTGTTGGACGCAAAAGAATTTCACTAGTGCTATGAAATTTCTGTGGTTTAACAGACCGAAAGTGAATTGACTCCAACCCTGATCCAGTCGCTGTTCAAAGTGCTTTTAAGGGAAACTTATCCGGCAACCTAACAATCAGTCACAGTTATTCTGTTTTACAATTTTTATTTTTGTCCTTACATTCTGGGTAAAAAAATAAATAAATACAGGTTTGTACTTGTGAATTATTAATGGGCCCTAATATGCCCTTTTGTATCAATTTTTCTTTGACAAAAATAAAAAGTTAACTATTTTGATTTGACCAATTTGTATCACGTCTTGTCTTTCTGTAACACAAAAGTGAATCTAACACCAAAACTATAAATATTTAATCTACACCCGTCAGCCATAACATTGTGAGCACTGACAGGGAATAACACTGATTATCTGGTTATAATGGCTCCTTTCAGTGGGTGGGATATATCAGGCAGCAAGTGAACATTTTGTCCTCAAGTTGATGTGTTAGAAGCAGGAAAAATGG